CAGGGATTATTAGCTCATGTTGACTTGATGTGACATGAACAGCTATTTGCCAGCTTCCTATTTATTTTCCATATAATTCTTTTTACTGCAAGTATAGCATTATAATGGATTCATTTAGGAGCTCCCATACAGATTGAACCTCCCTTCTCCAGCATCCTCCAGACCTGACCTGTTCTGAATGAGGGAATTTGCCAGATCAGGGGAGGTCCTCTGCCACCAGCGTCCAAGGACACTCCCCCTCCTTGCGGCTGGCTCTGCTCTGGCCCTGATGCTACTGGGCTCCAGCCTGCAGGGCTTGGACTTGGGCTCTGGCCCACTGGGGCTCCTCGGGGATGGAGCTCCCCAACCGCCGTGGCCCTGCTTCTCCCCCACCGGACCAAGAATCCCTGGGAGCGGGGCTTGCCAGCTGCTCTGGTTTTGCTGCTGTCTGCCTCACTACTGCCCTGCCCAGACAGGGCTCCCCAGCATGGGGCTTGTGGGCCCCACTGGCCCGAGCTCTCTGATCCAGCACATCTGTGCTCCTGCCCAGTGTTTCCTCTAAGCTGCTAGGTAGCACAGGTGATTAATCAGCCCCACCCAGTCAGCCCGGTGCATGGAGCCCTGAGCCCCTGACTGGGCGGGACTGATTAATCACCTGGGAAGCTGTGCTACCTAGCAGCTTAGAGGGAACACTGCTTCTGCTGGATCACGAATGTTGCTGGACCAGAGAAGGCTGGATTTCAGAGGTTCAACCTAGGGATGTGAAAGACTAGTTGACTGTTGGATAAGCCAATGCTTATTGGATAGTCCACAAGCTTGTTGACTAGTCACCTCCCCTCCTTTTGCTGCCTCTTATCAAAGAGGCAGCAAGTAGGGAGGGAGAAATAAAGGGGTATTTTGAAGCAGTAGCACCACATGGAGCCTGGGGCCAGAACTCAAGGCTCCACTCAGCGCTGACACTTTGAAACACCATCATGGGAGCCCAGCGTCAGGCTCTTGCGGTAGCGTTTCAAAGTGGCAGCACTGCAAGGAGCCTGGGATCAGCTGGGGAACCCCCATCTGATTCTGAGCTCCACACGACACTGCCACTTTGAAATGCTGAGAGGAGCCTGACTCGGGGCTTCTGTGGTGCTTCGAAGTGACAGCACCCCCAAGAGCCTGGGATCAGGTAGGGACTGATCAAAGTAGCAGTGCCACACGGAGCCCAGGGTCAGTGGGGAGTCCACAGCTGACCCCGGGCTCCACATAGCACTTTCGCCTTTAAAGTTTAGGGCACTTCAAAGGAGAAATGCCCTATCGAATAGTCGATGCAAAATGCACCAACTGTTTGATTAGTCAACTACCTGCAATTTAACATCCCTAGTTTAACCTTTACCTGTGAATTTTTGTGCAGAAAATACATAATAGTGGAACTGCTTGTAGCAGTTACCCATTTTGAGACTTTTCTTGTCTGATATTTAAAGATGATTTTAAAAAGTTACAATTAATTTACTGAACATTGGGTAATAGCCATCTGAGTAAAAGCGTACAGGTTATTAAAATCTTTCTAGGATAGTCTGTCATCAAACTTCTGAATCTCTGCAACTGTTTCTAATTAACATTCAACCTACAAACATTTCTAGTTACAGAATTGGATGCTATAAAATATCTGTATTGGACCAGTCTGCGAATAAGCTGAATTGTCCATATGAACCTAGAAAACTGTGTAACCGAAGACCAGTAAGAATGTGTAATAGATTCTGTTAGTTTGAGATGGGACAAAATCAGCTCTTTCTGTAGCTCTAACATGTCTGTCCTTTCCCCCCTATGTAGTATCAATGCTCCTGAACAGAGTAAGCACAACATAAGTAGATTAGAAGGTGAAGGAGTGAATGTGCATTTTTTTTCTTCACATCTCGAATACGAGACACATTTGAGACACTTGCAGTAAAAGTGGGGAGGGTGGAATAAAAAAGAGAGGTACTTAGAGGTTCTGTCTGCACTTCACAAACTCTTCATATGCTTTTCTTAATCAAGCATAAATATATTAGTTGTCTAAGGACTGCAAAAAGGGTTCAGGAAGGCCTTTATTTTCTGAGTGTCTCTTCAGAAAGGAGGCTTTTAAGTGCTTAATAAACCTGCCAAAGAACAGTTTAATAATTCAGTTTGTGTAAAATATCAAGCTGGGGCAAAGCTCAATGACTCGTTAGCTTTCTGTGTGCCATTATGTAGGTTTGAGAGTGACCCCGGAGCCTTTTGCCCTTTGTCTTGGCACATAGTGGAATAGAAGCATTACTGAGAGAACTTTCTTGCTTCTCACCCCTTGCTTTCATCACTGATTCAGCTTCCTTTAAGCCTTTGGTGTGACAGCTGTATATGATCTGAGAACTAAGAGAGATGGATTTTTATTTTATTTTAATGTAATAATGCACCCTGATTAAGGGTTACAGACCATTATAAGAGTTGCTAAGAAAATAGTTGTTCATTTTGTACATCAACTACTAGCAAGTTTTATAATGCCATGACACAGTAATAAGTTTCAAATTCTTCCTGGAGGTTACCTATGCAAGGAGCTAGAATGTTTTCCCTTCATTTAGTCTTCAGTTAATTCTCCATTCGCTCATTAAAATCATTCAGCTTGATATGTTGAGAACTATTTATATGTTGCTTTTAAGGCCAAGAATAACAGTGGCCTTAGATTTAACTAGAACTCTTGATGTGCAAGTTTCCTGTGAGAACCCATGCTGGAGGAAAATGCACGGAGTAAAAAGTGGCAGTGGATATGGGAAAAAGTTTGTATACATCTGTAATTGTTCTAGTTTAGTCTTTTTTCCCCTTAGTGCTTTATAGACAGAACAAATGTTACACAAAGACATGGCTTTTATTTTTATACTCTCAAAGAGATTAAGATAAAATTAATTTTAATAGAGCATCTGACTCTGTAGTAAGGAGCATTTAATAAGCCATTCTATATTCCTCAAATTTAAATAAAATTTCAAAATATTTTTTTCATGATTTCTGAAGGAAATATTTTTCCTGCACCACATTGTGGAAACCCTTCTAGTTGAAATTTATTTCCTCAGTGATATGCAGACATATTTTGAGAAAGATAAAATTAATTTTAATAGAGCATCTGACTCTGTAGTAAGGAGCATTTAATAAGCCATTCTATATTCCTCAAATTTAAATAAAATTTCAAAATATTTTTTTCATGATTTCTGAAGGAAATATTTTTCCTGCACCACATTGTGGAAACCCTTCTAGTTGAAATTTATTTCCTCAGTGATATGCAGACATATTTTGAGAAGAGTT